CTGTTTGTGAGAGACCTGGCACTGTCTGTGAGAGACCTGACACTGTTTGGGAGAGGCCTGGCACTGTCTGTGAGAGACCTGGCACTGTTAGTGAGAAACCTGGCACTGTCTGTGAGAGACCTGACACTGTGAGAGACCTGGCACTGTCTGTGAGAGACCTGTCTGTGTCTGTGAGAGACCTGGCACTGCCTGTGAGAGACCTGGCACTGTCTGTGAGAGACCTGGCACTGTCTGTGAGAGACCTGCCACTGTCTGTGAGAGACCTGGCACTGTCTGTGAGAGACCTGGCACTGTCTGTGAGAGACCTGTCTGTGTCTGTGAGAGACCTGGCACTGCCTGTGAGAGACCTGGCACTGTCTGTGAGAGACCTGGCACTGTCTGTGAGAGACCTGGCACTGTCTGTGAGAGACCTGGCACTGTCTGTGGGGGACCTAGCACTGTCTGTGAGAGACCTGGCACTGTCTGTGGGGGACCTAGCACTGTCTGTGAGAGACCTGGCACTGTCTGTGAGAGACCTAGCACTGTCTGTGAGAGACCTGGCACTGTCTGTGAGAGACCTGACGCTGTCTGTGAGAGACCTGGCACTGTCTGTGAGAGACCTGGCACTGTCTGTGAGAGACCTGCCACTGTCTGTGAGAGACCTGGCACTGTCTGTGAGAGACCTGCCACTGTCTGTGAGAGACCTGATACTTTATGGTAGTGGTAAGTGTATGATAGTGGTAAGTGTATGGTAGTGGTAAGTGTATGATAGTGGTAAGTGTATGATAGTGGTAAGTGTATGGTAGTGGTAAGTGTATGGTATTTGGTAAGTGTATGATAGTGGTAAGTGTATGGTAAATGGTAAGTGTATGATGTGGTAAGTGTATGGTAGTGGTAAGTGTATGGTAGTGGTAAGTGTATGGTAGTGGTAAGTGTATGATAGTGGTAAGTGTATGATAGTGGTAAGTGTATGATAGTGGTAAGTGTATGGTAGTGGTAAGTGTATGATAGTGGTAAGTGTATGATAGTGGTAAGTGTATGATTAGTGGTAAGTTATGATAGTGGTAAGTGTATGGTAGTGGTAAGTGTATGATGTGGTAAGTGTATGGTAGTGGTAAGTGTATGATAGTGGTAAGTGTAAGATAGTGGTAAGTGTATGATAGTGGTAAGTGTATGATAGTGGTAAGTGTATGGTAGCGGTAAGGTGTAGGTAGTGTAAGTGTATGGGAGTGGTAAGTGTATGGTAGCGGTAAGTGTATGGTAGTGGTAAGTGTATGGTAGCGGTAAGTGTATGGTAGTGGTAAGTGTATGGTAGTGGTAAGTGTATGGTAGCGGTAAGTGTATGGTAGTGGTAAGTGTATGGAAATGGTAAGTGTATGGTAGCGGTAAGTGTATGGTAGTGGTAATGTTTGGTAGCGGTTAAATGTATGGGAGTGGTAAGTGTATGGTAGTGGTAAGTGTATGGAGCGGTAAGTGTATGGTAGTGGTAAGTGTATGGTAGTGGTAGTGTATGATAGTGGTAAGTGTATGATAGTGGTAAGTGTATGGTAGTGGTAAGTGTTATGATAGTGGTAAGTGTATGGTAGTGGCAAGTGTATGATAGTGGTAAGTGTATGATAGTGGTAAGTGTATGATAGTGGTAAGTGTATGGTAGTGGTAAGTGTATGGTAGCGGTAAGTGTATGGTAGTGGTAAGTGTATGGTAGTGGTAAGTGTATGGTAGTGGTAAGTGTATGGTAGCGGTAAGTGTATGGTAGTGGTAAGTGTATGGTAGTGGTAAGTGTATGGTAGTGGTAGGTGGGTATGTAAATATTAAGAATGTCGTGTGGTTGAGAATATGTTGGGCGGAGCAGCGTTACGTCCAGACCAGCGTGTAGTGTCAGGGACTGTGTCGTCTGTGCTCTGTGGACAGTGTTAGTCCTCAGCCTAAATAAAAGGTAATCATTCCCCCAGCCTAGATGAAAGGTAATCAGTCCCTCAGCCTAGATGAAAGGTAATCAGTCCCTCAGCCTAGATGAAAGATAATCAGTCCCTCAGCCTAGATGAAAGGTAAATCAGTCCTCAGCCTAGATGAAAGGTGATCAGTCCCAGCCTTAAAGAAAGGTAATCAGTCCCTCAGCCCAGATGGGAAAAGGGAATCAGTCCCTCAGCCTAGATGAAAGGTAATCAGTCCCTCAGCCTAGATGAAAGATAATCAGTCCCTCAGCCTAGATGAAAGGTAATCAGTCCCTCAGCCTAGATGAAAGGTAATCAGTCCCTCAGCCTAGATGAAAGGTAATCAGTCCCTCAGCCTAGATGAAAGGTAATCAGTCCCCCAAAAGTAGATGAAAGGTAATCAGTCCCTCAGCCTAGATGAAAGGTAATCCGTCCCTCAGCTAGATGAAAGGTAATCAGTCCCCCAGCCTAGATGAAAGGTAATCAGTCCCTCAGCCTAGATGAAAGGTAATCAGTCCCTCAACGTAGATGAAAGGTAATCAGTCCCTCAGCCTAAACGAAAGGTAATCAGTCCCTCAGCCTAGATGAAAGGTAATCAGTCCCCCAGCCTAGAGAAAGGTAATCAGTCCCCCCAGCCTAGATGAAGGTAATCAGTCCCTCAGCCCAGATGAAAGGTATCAGTTCCTCGCCTAGATGAAAGGTAATTTAGTCCCTCAAAAGTAGTTTGAAAGGTAATCAGTCCCTCAGCCTAGATGAAAGGTAATCAGTCCCTCAGCCTAGATGAAAGGTAGTCAGTAGCTCAGCCTAGATGAAAGGTAACCAGTCCCTCAACGTAGATAAAAGGTAATCAGTCCCTCAACGTAGATGAAAGGTAATCAGTCCCTCAACGTAGATAAAAGGCAATCAGACCCTCAACGTAGATGAAAGGTAATCAGTCCCTCAACGTAGATGAAAGGTAATCAGTCCCTCAACGTAGATGAAAGGTAACCAGTCCCTCAACGTAGATAAAAGGTAATCAGTCCCTCAACGTAGATGAAAGGTAATCAGTCCCTCAACGTAGTTGAAAGGTAATCAGTCCCTCAACGTAGATGAAAGGTAATCAGTCCCTCAACGTAGATGAAAGGTAATCAGTCCCTCAGCCTAGATGAAAGGTAACTAGTCCCTCAACGTAGATAAAAGGTAATCAGTCCCTCAACGTAGATGAAAGGTAATCAGTCCCTCAACGTAGATGAAAGGTAATCAGTCCCTCAACGTAGATGAAAGGTAATCAGTCCCTCAACGTAGATGAAAGGTAATCAGTCCCTCAACGTAGATGAAAGGTAATCAGTCCCTCAACGTAGATGAAAGGTAATCAGTCCTCAACGTAGATGAAAGGTAATCAGTCCCTCAACATAGATGAAAGGTAATCAGTCCCTAAACGTAGATAAAAGGTAATCGTCCCTCAACGTAGATGAAAGGTAATCAGTCCCTCAACGTAGATGAAAGGTAATCAGTCCCTCAACATAGATGAAAGGTAATCAGTCCCTCAACGTAGATAAAAGGTAATCAGTCCCTCAACGTAGATGAAAGGTAATCAGTCCCTCAACGTAGATGAAAGGTAATCAGTCCCTCAACGTAGATGAAAGGTAATCAGTCCCTCAACGTAGATGAAAGGTAATCAGCCCCCTCAGCCTAGATGAAAGGTAATCAGTCCCTCAGCCTAGATGAAAGGTAATCAGTCCCTCAGCCTAGATGAAAGGTAATCAGTCCCTCAGCCTAGATGAAAGGTAATCAGTCCCTCAGCCTAGATGAAAGGTAATCATCCCTCAGCCTAGATGAAAGGTAAATCAGTCCCTCAGCCTAGATGAAAGGTAATCAGTCCCTCAGCCTAGATAAAAAGGTAATCAGTCTCTCAACGTAGATGAAAGGTAATCAGTCCCTCAACGTAGATGAAAGGTAATCAGTCCCTCAAAAATAGATGAAAGGTAATCAGTCCCTCAACGTAGATAAAAGGTAATCAGTCCCTCAACGTAGATGAAAGGTAATCAGTCCCTCAACGTAGATGAAAGGTAATCAGTCCCTCAACGTAGATGAAAGGTAATCAGTCCCTCAACGTAGATGAAAGGTAATCAGTCCCTCAGCCTAGATGAAAGGTAATCAGTCCCTCAGCCTAGATGAAAGGTAATCAGTCCCTCAGCCTAGATGAAAGGTAATCAGTCCCTCAGCCTAGATGAAAGGTAATCAGTCCCTCAACGTAGATGAAAGGTAATCAGTCCCTCAACGTAGATGAAAGGTAATCAGTCCCTCAACGTAGATGAAAGGTAATCAGTCCCTCAACGTAGATGAAAGGTAATCAGTCCCTCAACGTAGATGAAGGGTAATCAGTCCCTCAACGTAGATGAAAGGTAATCAGTCCCTCAACGTAGATGAAAGGTAATCAGTCCCTCAACGTAGATGAAAGGTAATCAGTCCCTCAGCCTAGATGAAAGGTAATCAGTCCCTCAGCCTAGATGAAAGGTAATCAGTCCCTCAGCCTAGATGAAAGGTAATCAGTCCCTCAGCCTAGATGAAAGGTAATCAGTCCCTCAGCCTAGATGAAAGGTAATCAGTCCCTCGCCTAGATGAAAGGTAATCAGTCCCTCAGCCTAGATGAAAGGTAATCAGTCCCTCAGCCTAGATGAAAGGTAATCAGTCCCTCAGCCTAGATGAAAGGTAATAAGTCCCTCAACGTAGATGAAAGGTAATCAGTCCCTCAGCCTAGATGAAAGGTAATCAGTCCCTCAGCCTAGATGAAAGGTAATCAGTCCCTCAGCCTAGATGAAAGGTAATAAGTCCCTCAACGTAGATGAAAGGTAATCATTTCCCTCAACGTAGATGAAAGGTAATCAGTCCCTCAACGTAGATGAAAGGTAATCAGTCCCTCAACGTAGATGAAAGGTAATCAGTCCCTCAACGTAGATGAAAGGTAATCAGTCCCTCAACGTAGATGAAAGGTAATCAGTCCCTCAGTTTAGCTGGAATGTGGTAATAGTTCACTAAATATTTTACAAAGTCTGAAAATACTGTATTAAAGAGAACGTTTCGCCCCCACAAGGGTGAAACACTTACAGAACAGACCGAGGAGGCCCGAGGCAGGTCCAGACCATGGGCGGCGTGGGCGTGGTGATCGACGTGGGCGTCATGCCCTTGGTGCTGGTGATGTAAATAAGTCCAAGAACAGGGCGGGGGCGCCGCCCCCACACACCGTGGATCAGGACAGGCACACGGGGGCGGCGGTATCAGGCTGCAGGTTGTACATTCGCCCACCCCGCCGCCCACACCCCACCCACTAGCCACCACGCTGGGGTACAGGTGGGCGGGGTATGATAGGAAGGGGGAACCAGGGGGCAATATCTGTGACTGGCAGCCCTGGCAGTCACTACAGGAGTCCTCGTGAGTTCTCAAGGAGAGTGGTGGGCTGGGTGGGCAGCACTGGTGGGTTGAGGAGCGAGGGAGGGTGTTGGTGACCACATCGAGACCCACCACGGCTCGCCCACTCCGTAACCCACTACGTCCAGTTACCAGTTCCATCCAGTCAGTCTCGGTGTGGGCTTCAGTGTGCACAGACCGTGGTCTCAGCCCACTCCTGTAGACCCACGGTGTTGTTGTTGGTTTTAGAGTGCACAGATCGTGGTCTCAGCCCACTCCTGCATCAATAACGCATGTTGCACAACGTTGCACAGTGTTGTACACTGTTGCACAACCTTGCACACTGTTGCACAGCCTTCTACACTGTTGCACAGCCTTGTATACTGTTGCACAGCCTTGTATCCTGTTGCACGGCCTTGTACACTATTGCTCAACGTTGTACACTGCTGCACAGACTTGTATACTGTTGCACAGCGTTTTACACAGTTGCACAGCCTTGTACACTGTTGTACAGCCTTGTATACTGTTGCACAAACTTGTACACTGTTGCAGAGCTTTGTACACTGTTGCACAACCTTGTACACTGTTGCACAACCTTGTACACTGTTGCACAACCTTGTACACTGTTGCACAACCTTCTACACTGTTGCAGAGCTTTGTACACTGTTGCACAACCTTGTACACTGTTGCACAACCTTCTACACTGTTGCAGAGCTTTGTACACTGTTGCACAACCTTGTACACTATTGCACAGCGATGTACGCTGTTGCACAGCGTTGCACACAAACAGCACAGAGAGTCTGGCCTAGAGCCGACAAACACAGTCACACTTGTACCAGTCACGTGAACCACCGACAAACAGTCACACTTGTTACAGTCAGTCACGTGAACCACCGACAAACAGTCACACTAGTTACAGTCAGTCACTTGAACCACCGACAAAACAGTACACTAGTTACAGTCAGTCACTTGAACCACCGACAAACAGTCACACTAGTTACAGTCAGTCACTTGAACCACCGACAAACAGTCACACTAGTTACAGTCAGTCACTTGAACCACCGACAAACAGTCACACTTGTTACAGTCAGTCACGTGAACCACCGACAAACAGTCACACTTGTTACAGTCAGTCACGTGAACCACCGACAAACAGTCACACTTGTTACAGTCAGTCACGTGAACCACCGACAAACAGTCACACTTGTTACAGTCAGTCACGTGAACCACGACAAACAGTCACACTAGTTACAGTCAGTCACGTGAACCACCGACAAACAGTCACACTAGTTACAGTCAGTCACGTGAACCACCGACAAACAGTCACACTAGTTACAGTCAGTCACGTGAACCACCGACAAACAGTCACACTAGTTACAGTCAGTCACGTGAACCACCGACAAACAGTCACACTAGTTACAGTCAGTCACTTGAACCACCGACAAACAGTCACACTTGTTACAGTCAGTCACGTGAACCACCGACAAACAGTCACACTAGTTACAGTCAGTCACGTGAACCACCGACAAACAGTCACACTAGTTACAGTCAGTCACGTGAACCACCGACAAACAGTCACACTTGTTACAGTCAGTCACGTGAACCACCGACAAACAGTCACACTAGTTACAGTCAGTCACGTGAACCACCGACAAACAGTCACACTAGTTACAGTCAGTCACGTGAACCACCGACAGTCACACTAGTTACAGTCAGTCACTTGAACCACCGACAAACAGTCACACTTGTTACAGTCAGTCACGTGAACCACCGACAAACAGTCACACTAGTTACAGTCAGTCACGTGAACCACCGACAAACAGTCACACTAGTTACAGTCAGTCACGTGAACCACCGACAAACAGTCACACTAGTTACAGTCAGTCACGTGAACCACTCAAATACCTACACACGTTCACCAAACCTTCACATTAACTTCTGAAGTCCTTCTCTCGCAACGTTCTCTACGTTCTACCCAGTCGCTCGCACGATCGTAAACTGCAGCAACGTCACTCATTCTTACGAACGTTCTTCGTAAGAGGAACAGAGGGGGCGTGCCCCCCACTTCCTGGTCGACCGTGTGTGTGGGGGGGTCTTTTCTCTCTCTTTCTGTCTCTCCTTCTCTCTTTTTCTCCCTTTCCTTGTACCTTTTGTATGAGTTTCTGTAAATTCTGTTCACTGACGGAGGGTCGAGCCTGCACTCACTCTCTTTAAGTTCCCACAAGTATTTTCCAAGTTAAGATAACACCATCATTTTTTTTTTAATTTTGAGTAGAGGTGAAGTCTGAAAAAGACAGAAAAAAGATTTATTGCGTCAGTTGTCACTTAAACTGTTTACTAAAGACTCCAATAGACATACAAATTATCTATCGACACTGAGTCATTTACCAATTACTTACGATTCTCTCAGCTCAAAGTACAAACTAATTTATTCAGTCTTGTATTTTTTTTCAGAAAATTAGAAGAATTTATTCTCATAATATCTTTTTTCCCGTCTTACGAAGTACACTAGTTTTTGTCTCACACTAGTATACTGGTTATACCAGGCAGGGACTTCAGCCTGGTATATCACGTTTCCCTGCAAATATGCTCGCGGTCTGGTTGTTCCCGTTGGAATTGACTCTGTCTACGTCTTCAATGGCTTAGCAAACTCTGTTAGCCAGACAACACCCAGGAGGATGACTACCAATTATGTCCAGGCAATTAGGTCCTGACTAATGGGTTTAACAGGTCTACAGTGTCACCTTAACAAAGTAACAGTGTCACCTTACCACAGTAACAGTGTCATCTTAACACAGTAACAGTGTCATCTTAACACAGTAACAGTGTCATCTTAACACAGTAACAGTGTCATCTTAACACAGTAACAGGTCTCATCTTAACACAGTACAGTGTATCTTAACACAGTAACAGTGTCATCTTAACACAGTAACAGTGTCATCTTAACACAGTAACAGTGTCATCTTAACACAGTAGCAGTGTCATCTTAACACAGTAACAGTGTCATCTTAACACAGTAACAGTGTCATTTTAAACCCACAGTAACAGTGTCATCTTAACAAAGTAACAGTGTAAATCTTAACACAGTAACAGTGTCACCTTAACACAGTAACAGTGTCATCTTAACACATACAGTGTCATCTTAACACAGTAAGTGTCATCTTAACAAAAGTAAACAGTGTCATCTTAACACAGAAAACAGTGTCATCTTAACACAGTAACAGTGTAAACTTAACACAGTAACAGTGCCCACTTAACACAGTAACAGTGTCATCTTAACAAAGTAACAGTGTCATCTTAACACAGTAACAGTGTCATCTTAACACAGTAACAGTGTCATCTTAACACAGTAACAGTGTCATCTTAACACAGTAACAGTGTCATCTTAACATAGTAACAGTGTCATCTTAACAATCATTGTGGACATATAAATACCTACATGATTGATGGTGTCTAATGATGCATAACTCGATACTTTACTGACGATGTTTCGCCCCAAACAGTGTACATTATCTAGTCACAAATAAGAGCATCACACTACTTTTATAGCCAGTGTTGCTAAGTGAACAACCGACCGGTCAGAACTTCAACTCGTTGCTTGAAGAAATTCCCAGATACCAGCAGCTCGCGGCTCTCTTCTGCTCTCAAGTCTCTCTCAAGTCTCTTTCAAGTCTCTCTCAAGACTCTCAAGACTCTCTCAAGTCTCTCTCAAGTCTCTTTCAAGTCTCTCTCAAGTCTCTCTCAAGTCTCTCTCAAGTCTCTCTCAAGTCTCTCTCAAGTCTCTCTCAAGTCTCTCTCAAGTCTCTCTCAAGTCTCTCTCAAGTCTCTCTCAAGTCTCTTTCAAGTCTCTCTCAAGACTCTCAAGACTCTCCAAGTCTCTCTCAAGTCTTTTCCAAGTCTCTCTCAAGTCTCTCTAAAGTCTCTCAATTTCTCTCTCAAGTCTCTCTCAAGTTTTCTCAAGTCTCTCTCAAGCCCTCTCTAAAGTCTCTCTCAGTCTCTCTCAAGTCTCTCTCAAGTCTCTCTCAAGTCTCTCTCAAGTCTCTCTCAAGTCTCTCTCAAGTCTCTCTCAAGTCTCTCAAGTCTCTCTCAAGTCTCTCTCAAGTCTCTCTCAAGTCTCTCTCAAGTCTCTCTCAAGTCTCTCTCAAGTCTCTCTCAAGTCTCTCTCAAGTCTCCCCAAGTCCCCTCTCAAGTCTCTCTCAAGTCTCTCTCAAGTCTCTCTCAAGTCTCTCTCAAGTCTCTCTCAAGTCTCTCAAGTCTCTCTCAAGTCTCTCTCAAGTCTCTCTCAAGTCTCTCTCAAGTCTCTCTCAAGTCTCTCTCAAGTCTCTCTCAAGTCTCTCAGTCTCTCTCAAGTCTCTCTCAATTTCTCTCTTCAAGTCCCCTCTCAAGTCCTCTCAAGTCTCTCTCAAGTCTCTCAAGTCTCTCTCAAGTCTCTCTCAAGTCTCTCTCAAGTCTCTCTCAAGTCTCTCTCAAGTCTCTCTCAAGTCTCTCTCAAGTCTCTCTCAAGTCTCTCTCAAGTCTCTCTCAAATGTTCCTTAATATTGGAAGGTTTCACTGTGCGTGAGTCTGGTCTCATGGCTCTGGCTCAGGGTAAGGGACTGATCACTTTCTATCAAGACTGAGGGACTGATCACCTCAAAAATTTCCTCTCCGCTTCAATATCCACAGCTTCAGTCGCCTGTATTCGACTAGAGGAGCCTGTTGTGCAGGCGAAAAGTTTCGAAAATAAATATTAATAGCTGTACCCGGACATACGTGATAAATTATTATTCTCTCTCTTCTAATTTTGTCTTTATCAGTTGGTTTCTGTGATCTCCATGAGATCCGCCATATCTGATACTGCTCTTCCCTTAACTTCACTCACAATTTTTTGTCATTCCATCAAGTTTTTGTAATACATTACTTTAATACGCTGTGACAGTAATGCATTTTCTGAAGTTTGTGTCATCTTGAAAGGTAATTGTACTTGCTAAGTGGTGAACGTCAGGACCTTTGTTAAGTGGTGAACGTCAGGACCTTAGTTAAGTGGTGAAAGTCAGGACCTTAGTTAAGTGGTGAAAGTCAGGACCTTTGTTAAGTGGTGAACGTCAGGACCTTAGTTAAGTGGTGAAAGTCAGGACCTTTGTTAAGTGGTGAAAGTCAGGACCTTTGTTAAGTGGTGAAAGTCAGGACCTTTGTTAAGTGGTGAACGTCAGGACCTTAGTTAAGTGGTGAAAGTCAGGACCTTTGTTAAGTGGTGAAAGTCAGGACCTTTGTTAAGTGGTCAACGTCACGACCTTAGTTAAGTGGTGAAAGTCAGGACCTTTGTTAAGTGGTGAAAGTCAGGACCTTTGTTAAGTGGTGAACGTCAGGACCTTAGTTAAGTGGTGAACGTCAGGACCTTTGTTAAGTGGTGAACGTCAGGACCTTAGTTAAGTGGTGAAAGTCAGGACCTTTGTTAAGTGGGGAAAGTCAGGACCTTTGTTTTAAATGGTGAACGTCACGAAACCTTAGTTAAGTGGTGAAAGTCAGGACCTTTGTTAAGTGGTGACGCAGGACCTTTGTTAAATGGGAACGTCAGGACCTTAGTTAAGTGGTGAACGTCAGGACCTTAGTTAAGTGGTGAAAGTCAGGACCTTTGTTAAGTGGTAAACGTCAGGACCTTTGTTAAGTGGTGAACGTCAGGACCTTTGTTAAGGGGGTGAACGCAGGACCTTTGTTAAGTGGTGAACGTCGGGAAACCCTTTTTTAAGTGGTGAACGTCAGGACCTTTGTTAAGTGGTGAACGTCAGGACCTTTGTTAAGTGGTGAACGTCAGGACCTTCGTTAAGTGGTGAACGTCACGACCTTTAAGTGGTGAACGTCACGACTTTGTTAAGTTGGTGAACGTCAGACCTTTGTTAAGTGGTGAACGTCAGGACCTTTGTTAAGTGGTGAACGTCACGACCTTTGTTAAGTGGTGAACGTCACGACCT